TACACAGAGTTTCCGGAGGCAAGCCATTTCGGAAGTGTCTGCTGCTCCTGCTTCCAGGCTTGTTTTAGTCAGGAAGCTCCAGCAAACACTGTCCACCATGGGTAACCTTTACCACGTTTGGCACATCACTGTCACAGTGTTCAGCATCACAGCAACTACGATTTACCTCTGTACAGCAATGCACAGACCATTGCTATACCACCTAGAAGAATTTTCTCTATATAGAATCATGTAATCTGCAAATAGAGATAGTGTTACTTCCATCTTGCCAATTTGGGTGCTTGTTATTTGGGTTTTTTTTTTCAATAACTTCCAATATAATATTGAAGGCATCCTTGTTTGCTTACTGTTTACAAGGGGGATGCTGCTTTTTTTTTTAAAATTGAGATTTTATAAAGAACTTGAATTTTCATTCATTCATTGTTGCACATCTAATCTCTCTCCACAGATGCTAATACTGGTCATTGGACGTGTATACATGTCTCTAAGTATACTGAAGAATTTCCCTTCTATGGCTGTTTTATTGAGGAGATTAAAAAAAAAACCAGGTAAAGGTATTGAATTTTGTTGAATGTTTTCTGTATTTTTATTATTATGTGGTTTTTCTCCTTTGTTTTCTTTATGTGGTGGATTAAAATTTATTGTTTTTCTTATGGTGAACTATCTCAACATACCTCCTACGAATCCCACTTGATCATTATGATTTTTTAGATGATGCTAGATTCCATTGGCTGAGATCTTGTCGAGAATTTTTACATCTCTGTTCATGAGGAATCCTGACCCATAATTTTCTTTTTTAGAGATATCTTTGCCTATCTTTAATATCAAGGCTATGCTTGCTTCATAGAATGAACTCAGGAGTATTCTTTTTCTATATTCTGAAATAGCTTGAGTACAATTGATGCAAGCACTTCTGTGAATGTTTGATAGAACTCACTGGCAAAACCATCTTGGTCAGGACATTTTTGGCTGGGAGTGTTTTTGTGATGAATCTGTTGAAATTTTCTACTTCAGTCTATGTTAGTTTAGTTAAGAAGCAAGCTGGTTGTGTGGTCCATAGGGAGTTGCACTGCTAGCCCAACGACTGGGAATCTCTGATGATTTGAATCTGCCAGTGGTTCCACAGAAGTTAAGGTTTCCTCTAGGCTTACAAATTAGAGGAAATTTCCATTTCTACAAGGCTTACAAATTTGTTGGAGTATAGTTCTTCATTGCAATATTTTGTTATCTTTTTTTTATTTCAGTTGGTTATACGGTGAAGTAATGTATTTCATTTCTTACTCATTATTTTTATCTTCTCTTTTGTTAGATTTGCCAGTGGCTTGGCATTTTCATTAATCCTTTCAAAGAACTAACTTCTAACCTTGTTCATTCTTTCTATTGTTTTTCTGTTTTGTATTTGACCAAGAACTTCAGGAAAAGAAACTCTTGGTTTTTATAAAAGAGAACCCCCCTTACCCTTCTGATAATGGAAACTGATACTAGGACCTATTATTATTCTTTGACAAATACTTCATAAAAACCATATCACAATGCACTGTTAAGTACAGATTGTGCAAAGCTAGCTATCTAAAACCATTCTATTAATATGTAATGATTAACCAAATAGGAAAGACTAGCTTTTGATGATATTAATTAGCTACAAACTACACAGGCTTATCAGAAAAGAGGAAGGTGAATAACCCCAGCTGAGCAAAATCCTGACTTCCAGACAGAAAGGGTGCCAGATCTGGTTAACAGTGGCTAGAACATTTCTAAATCTTCCCTGAAGCCAACACATTAATTTGCCTTCGACAGAATTTCTGTTACCTTCAGCAGAAGTGAACCCCTGCTGTCACATCTAGGATTTGCAATGGTGACTTTAAAACATCTTTTCAGCCATTTATCATTAAAATGCATCTTGGATGCCTTTGCTCAAGGACCACACTGTTTGTTCTTGAGGTTTATTGAGAACACTTAACATAACATATTATTTGTTTGCCCACAGCAAGGTCTCCTCCTGACAGCCACAATTCTTATTGTTCTGTCACAAGTAATTATAAATGTACACCTCTAAAAAAAGTCCCAATTTGAGGGTTATAATCTATTTTGGAGAATGAATTTCAGCAACATCTCTATCCCTTGGGTGGTCAAAATGTACAGCTCAGATGTATGAGCTTTTACTCGAAATCTTCTGTTCCTGAAAAAAAAAAAATTAGGAGGCTACACTTTCTCCCTGGGGAGTTAGGAAAAAAAAATAACTGGCACCTTTGGCAGAACAATTTATATTGGTTTCTGTTACACTTCCCCCACTCCCCAAGACTTCTTTCCTCATAAGTGACCCAAATAGAATGGTCTCAGCGAGTCCTCCTCTGAGGCTATTTGCCACTCAGTTATACACGTTAGATGGCCCTGTACCCCTTCCATTTTCACCAAAGGCTCTTTTATGTATTCTTCCTCTGTGCGTCCCTGAGAGTCAGGCTCCCTGCTCACAGTCACAACTGAATGGCTCATCTTTACGCCTCTTGCTGACAAAGGAACCCAGGCAAATTTTCCTTCTTGCTTTCTTTCAAGTTTTACATCCATTTTTATTATCAATGAAACCTTGTATCTTAGTGATCCTGGTGTAGCTACTTCCTAATAATACCCACAGCAGTCAGGAAATCAAAAGACAAACTGCGTTGGGAAAATCTGCTGTCATGGACCTCTCCAGAGTACTGAAGTGCAACGATGTCAGTCTAGATACAAAGATGCCTCTAATTCAGGCCAAGGTCTTCTCAATTGCTTGTTATGCTTCAAAGACTTGGACAATGACTAAGGATGACAGAAGAAGAATAGATGCCTTCGAGTTGTGGTGCTGGAGAAGAGTCTTGAACATACCATGGACTGCCAAGAAAACAAATTGGTCTGTCTTGCAGAGGGTGAAAACATGTCTCTCCTTCAAGGCTAGGATTTTGAAGCTCTGCCTGACATACTTCGGACACATGGACAGGAGAGAATGGTCCTTGTAGAAAGACATCATGCTTGGAAGGGTGGAAGGACAGTAGAGGAGAGGGAGACCCTGGATGAGATGGACTGATACAGTAACTGGGCAATGGAGATTGGTGTGTTGGAATTAGTGAGACTGGCTCAGGACAGGGAAGAGTTTAGAGCTGCTGTACACAGGGTCACTATACATTACAGGTGACTAAATGGCACAAAACATACTATGATAGGTTTGGAAGCAGGAATGGCAACAACTTTCTAAATAACACGCCTCTGGAAACTCTATGAACTTTGATAAATGTTGATAGTTGTAAAAGGGCTTCAGGTTTTTTGTTCATAGGGTCACTATGAGTCATGTTCAACTTGAAGGCAATCAACAATAAGAACATGTCTGGTGGCCTAGTGTTAAGAAGCTGGACTGCAATCCTAAATGCACATAGTTCAAATCCACCAGACACTCTTCAGGAGAAAAATGGGAAATGTCCTCCTGTGCTATTAACTGCCTCTGAAAACCTGCTGAAGGGTCAGCTGTGGGTCAGTTCTGACCTTATGGTATACAACAACAACAACAACAACAATATGTTATTAAAGAGGAATGTGGGATGGAGGAAGGCTAATCAACAACCTGTATAATGCAGATGACATAACCTTGCTTGCTGAAAGTGAGGAGGAGATGAAATATTCCCTGCAAAAGATCAAGAAAGAATGACAGCTGTGGGTATGACTTCATCTCAACATCAAGGAAACAAAGGTCCTTACCATAGCCCCAGTAGTCAACATTACAATAGATGGAGAAAGGATTGAAACTGTCACTGATTTCATCTTTCCTGGATCAACACTCAACATCCCTAGTACCAGCAGTTGGGAAATCAGGAGACATATTTTATTGGGCAAATCTATTGTCAGGGACCTCTCCAAAATATGATATCAGTTTGAAGGCTAAGGTATGCCTACTTCATGCTATGGTCTCCTTAATCACCTGCTATGCATCAGAGAGCTGGACAATCAGGATGACAGAAGAAGTGACACCTTTGAGTTATGTTGCTGGAGAAGAGTACTGAACATTCCAAGGACTGCCACAAGAACAAAGAGATGTCTTGGAGAAAGCGTATCTGGGGTGCTCCCTGGCTTCAAAATGGCAAAGCTTTGTCTTTCATATTTTGGACATGTAGCTAGGTCAGGGTATTCCTTGGAAAGGGACATCATACTTGGAAAAATAGAGGATTAGTGAAGGACAGGAAGACTCCAATGAAATGGATTGATGTGGTGAGTTCAGCAATGGGCTCTAGTGTGTTAGAGATGATAAAGATGGCACTGGATAGGGCAGGGTTCAGGTCTGTATTTTTTTTGGCCACTATGAGTCTTATTTGACTCGATGGTACCTAACAACAACAACAACAACTCTATATAACGCATACAAACCATTTCACTGTGTCCTCAGGAAAATCTTTCCAGTGTGTGTTGTCTGATGTTCTTGTCTGCCATCGAGTTAGACCTGACCCACAGCTGGCCCTCCAGCGGCACTAACTAGCTCAGAATGAGACTGCCCATCCTTCTCCCATGGAGAAGCTGGTGGATTTGAACCACATACCTTTGGGATTTCAGCACATCTTCTTAGCATTAGGCCACCAGATGGCACTTCCAGTGTGTAAGGTCTATTATTAGTCTTATTTTATATATAATGTGGTAACTAAAATTCCTAAAGGTGACTCAGCTAATAATTGGTGGATGGGGAATGGAGAATAAGGCCTATTTGACGTTAATGCCATGCTCTTATTCTCTCAATTATATTGCACCCTGGAATTAGGCTTTAGAAAAAAAAAAGAAAAGACAATTTCACCAGGAACTTTTTTTTGGGTGCAAAGAAATCATCATCCTGGGCTGGGGAACAAAGCAGGATAGGTCACCCCATTCTGGGTGGACGGTGCTAAATGACTAGCATTTGATGAAAACAGTGGCATCTCAAAGGGACTGAGTTTCTCCACTGAGAGCTAATAATGTTTATTTTGAATGCATCCTATTTGTCCTATTCCCACCTTGGGCACTCGGACTTCCCGAGGAATCCACATGCTGCTCAGCTGCCCGTTGACTGGGAGGGACAATCGGTGGGCTCAGCATATTTAGCCAGTCCCTAAAAAGAAAAGAAGACAAGTGAGCAACACGTTTCAAGATTCTACATACAGATGTCACTTCTGTCATGGATTTCTAATTCTCTAAAGGCCCTGTCCCCAAAAGGAACATTTACTCTCCTTTATGCTTCAGTTAAGACACCTGTCCAGACATTAATACAAGAAGTCTTCAACTTCTGATGGGGTCCAATTCTGAACTCTGACGTAAGTTGCTTCTGAGATTAAGTAAACTGTCTTATCCTTTATACCTTTTAGTTTTCATCATTGTTGCTTTTTAGAAATTGTATTTTCACAAATTTGACCTTTATTTGTCTTTGGAGATTGGAAACATGACATATGAACTTATAGGCAGGATCACATCAGCAAATGATATGCTGCAATCCTATATGTAGTACATACCACTAATAATAAACATATAAAGCAACAAAAAAAGAAGGTGTTAAAATAGCTGTCCATCATCAGCTGTGTTGTAAATAGGGACTACTTGTATTCAGTTTTGCAGACTAGTTAATACGGTATGTTGTAAGGAGGGACCAATCCTTGGGGAGGGACATCATGCTTGGGAGGATGGAGGGACAGCACAAGAGAGAAAGACTCTCAGTGATACGGATTTACTCTGTGACTGGGGTAATCGGGGTAGGTGTATTAGAGACAATAAGGTTGGTTCAGGATAGAGCAGGGTTTAGGGCTGTTGTACACAGAGTTGCTATGAGTTGTAGGCAACTTGATGGCACAATAATAACAGCAACAACAACAATTGCTGAACTAACTAATTAAACAAACATGTTGATTAAATGATGAAGACTGCTTGCTGTAGTTTATTACTGTTGCTCTTAAACTACTGCACAATTTTCCTCTCATGAGAAAGAAAATTATTTCTGTAACTAAGAAGAAACACAACATAAACAGAACTCCTCATGATCTTCCCGCAGAGAGCCTGACCAAGTTAACTGGCTCTTTTTTAATGAAGGACAAATTTCCATGTGGTGACTCTAAATGGAAATTAGTTATGGAGCTGGAGGGCAGGGTGGGACCCCATGTGACAGCAGTCGGGGTACACTTCAATTCAGGGCTGGAGAGCAGCACAGGAGAGTGAGGGGAATTGGCCCTTGACGGATTCATTAACAGAAATAGTGACAAAACCACTTCAGAAAGTACCTCCTTTGGTTCCTCTGCTTTGAACTTCTACCTTCACTTCCAAATCTCTACTTTTGGTCCACTTTTATTCTTTGCCATCTCCCTCTAGGCGATACCAGGGTGCATACAATTCCAGTGGTTGAGAGCCAGAAGGCAGGGGTCACTGGGCCTTCTCCTTCAAACCTTCCCATCCCTAGATCTGCCAGTGAACTTCTTCAGTGGTAGGCAGCTGGCAGGCCAGATGAGCATTTTTTATCATTTATTATACTCTTCTCTATAGGAGGCTGTCCTCTTGACTAAAGAATTTCTTTATAAATTTTCTCTATTTCCTCCTGGCTTAATAGTAAGAAACTGTGTTGCAATCCCAAAGGCACACAGTTCTAATCCACTAGATGCTCCAAGGGAGAAGGTTGGCCAATTTCCCTCCTATGTGATTTATTACTTTTGAAAACTTGCTGGAGGGCTAACATGGGGTTGGTTCTGAATTGATGGCACACAACCACCACCACCACCACACCACCACCACCACCATTTAAAATGGAGTAGCCTGGGCAGGGACAAAGAGCTCTGGTCCACCAAGCCAACCACAGCTCCACATTTCCCAACACCTGATAGTGGTCAAAGCGTTTAACATCACCAAGCCTCATGTACAAAAGGGAGCTATGCCTCATGGAGAAAAGAGAGAGAATAATAAACTAACAGTAAAACTTCAGAGTTTTGTTATTAGGAATAAATGAAAACAAAAATGGAGGGAGAACATTTAGTATGGATCTGGATGGAGTTAATACTCAATAAATGTCAATTACGGTGGTGGTCATATTTTTCCATCAGTGAAGATCACAGTGTGACCTTTTTTGTGATGACAAAACAAGGCAAGAATTTGGTTTTTTTGGAACAAACCAACAGAGGATGGTTCAATGATTATAAGCCTACAGGAGATGTCTTCCCGTACAAAAGGTATGTTAATGTAAAAGTCAGCCAATTTGTATTTGCAATATTTTAACATACTTTCTGTCCCTGCTTCCCTTAATAACCACTTGATTATGACTGGTAAAATAAGCAAGGTGAGCATGGATGTAATTGAATTTCTTAATAACACATTAAGAAAGAATTCATCACAGACTGCCAATCTAATAGGGGCTCTTTTATGATAAGCAACTTTTATGAATCTATTTAATTACAGCAAACCAAAATAATTCCTGCATTGTAGAAAATGACAAAGATCACAAATTACCAGCCCAGTAACCTCATTACCCATGAAGAGTAATGGAGAGTGAGGATGAAGAGAGAAATAGAATGTCATCCAACTGAAGGCCCCCTCAAGGCCAAGGCTCTACACACTGACAGCAGTAGCTCCAACTCACAGGCCACAGATGTGGGGAAAATGTCATTGGGGTTTGTCGTGTGACTGTTGTGAAAGGCCTTTGTCAAATTTCACTTGTCAAACTTTGATGATTATTTTTCTTTCTTAGCGAAAGTTCTGACAGGCACAGGGCTCATTTCACTGCCTGATTTCAAATCTTACGACACTGCTGTGTTGGTCAAGACAACATGGTATTGGTACAATGACAGATTTATAGATCAATGGAATAGAATTGAGAATCCAGAAACCAGCCCATCTACTTATGGTCAATTGATTTTTGACAAAGAGATGAAATCAGTTAAGTGGGGAAATGACAGTCTTTTTAACAAATGGTGTTGGCAAAATTGGAAAACTATCTGTAGATAACTCTAGCAAGATCCACAACTCACTCGATAAACAAAAACCAACTCAAAGTGGGTCATGGACCTAGGACTAAAACCAAGGACTATAAACTTCATTAAAGAAAATCTTAGGAGTATTCTAGAAGCCCAAATCCACAACATACTTAGTTTTCCAAGTATCCTGAAAAATCTACAACCAGGAGAAGATAAAATAGATGAATGGAACCTTCTAAGAATCAAGTCCCCATGCACATCCAAAAACTTCTCCCACAGGGTGAAAAGGGAAGCCACAGACTGGGAAAAAATATTTGACAATGACATGTCAGATAATAGACTTTTACCTTGAATTTATAAAATACTCGAGCACCACAACATGTGGTAAAGATAAAGGTAAATAACCCAATTGAAAAATGGGCACAGGATATGAACAGACACTTCACCAAAGGTGACATTCAGATGGCAAACAAACACATGAAGAAATGTTCAAAATCCTTAGCTCTAAGAGAGATGCAAATCAAAACATCTCACCCCAGTAAGAATTAGCAAAGAATTGGAAACAACCCAAGTGTTCATCAACAAACAAATGGATAGAGAAGCTGTGGTATGTTCACAAAATGGAATACTATGCTGCACTGAAAAACAAGGAACTCGTGAAATATACAAAATAGGTGACCCTGGAGGGCATTATGCTGAGTGAAATATCTCAATCACAAAAGGACCGATGACTGCATAGTGCCACTGTGGTCAAACAGGACTGACATGGGGGTTGGGAGGAGACTGAGAAAGATGGGATAAATTATGCATACTGCATTGAAACAGAGGAATGTGAGAACTGTTTAAAAGGAATATATGATTAGGTCTTACTGTCATGACAGGAGTTCAGAACAAAGACTGCATAGTGGAATGGACGGGGTGGGGGGGAGAGATTGTATAACAATAAAATAATTTTTATTTCACTTTTCAAAGAGAAGGGCAAACTTGGGGGAGGCATGGGCAGGGAGAAAAGTGCAACAATAAATGAATGGAAATAAAAAGTCTCTTTTATTATAATAATAATAATTATATTTTATAATAAATATATAATAATAATAATAATAACAACAACAACCTGAAAAAAAGAATAGGAGTTCCAGAACATTTAATTGTGCTCATATGAAACCTATACATAGACCAAGAAGTTGTTGTCTGAACCCAACAAGGGAACACTGCATGGTTTACGATCAGGAAGGGTGTGTGTCAGGGTTGTATCCTTTCTCCATACCTATTCAATCTCTATGATCAGCAAATAAATTATGAAATCAAATTCTATGAAGAAGAATGTGGTGTCAGGATTGAAGGAAGACTCATCATCAACCTGTGTTATGCAGATGACACAACTTTGCTTGCTGAAAGTAAGGACGATATGAAATGCTTGCTACAGCAGATCAGGGACTACAGCTTTTGATATGGATTACATCTCAACATCAAGGAAGCAAAGGTCCTCACCACAGGACCAAGAGTCAGTATTACGCTAGATAGAGAAAGGATTGAAGCTGTCAATGATTTCATCTTCCTTGGTACCAGCAGTCAAGAAATCAGGAAATGCATTGTATAAGTCTGCTGTCAAGGACCTCTCCAAAATGCTGAAGAGAAACAATGTTAGTTTGAAGACTAAGGTGTGCCTGATTCAGGGCATGGTTTCCCCAATCACTTGTTATGCATCAGAAAGCCAGACATTAAATTGAATAAGGATGACAGAAGAAGAACGGATGTCTTTGACTTGTGGTGCTGGAGAAGAGTACTGAATAGCCATGGACTGCCAAAAGAACAAACAGATACGTCTTGAAAAGGGTGCAGAGTGCTCCTTGGAGGCAAAAATGTCTAAGCTTTATCTTTCACACTTTGGATATGCAGCTAGGTGGGGCTATTCCTTGGAAAGGGACATCATGCTTGAAAAGATGAAGGGTTAGTGAAGGAGAGGACCCCCAGTGAGATGAACCACACAGTGACTTAGCAATGGGTTCAAGTGTATGGGAGATGAGGATGGCACAGGATAGGGCAGGTTTCAAGTAGGCTGTTCATTGGTTGCTGTGAGTTGTACTTGACTTGATGGCACCTAACAATAACATTTCTACACTGTTCTAATAAATCTCTTGCCTCCTGTTTTCTGTAGGAAAAGCTG